CATTAATGATCAAATTAATTTTTATCCTCATTAAAAATTTATTCAAGAATGTGTATGAATGAATATGACTTGACTCACCTTTTAGCTGAAGGAAAGCATGCATGCCAAATGTTGAAGATGTGTTTCTGGTTTTCTGTGAAAAAAGGGGAAATCGTATTAAATATCGCAGTAATGGCATATTTACCGTGTTTGTTGGTTTGTCAGCAAATAAAACACCGAAGTTTGTTTGAACCATTCATGACTGGCACTAAAATTTATTTTGAAGTAAAAACGCTTTCAGGCCATTCACAGAACAATAAGATTGGGTTGTCACATTTTCTCTGTGTATTTTGTTGTACGATAATTAGAAAAATTATGCTTAAACGGCTTCTTGCACTGGTGGTTCATAGCCCTCTGGACGTTCAACAACAACACCTTCAGCATTGGTAACACCTTCAGCTGATTTGCCGCCGCTTCCGTCACCGTGAAGTTCCAACAATCTCGACAAGTCGAAACGTGGTTTCTTCAACACTTTGACCTAAACCAAACAGAGATAGGATTAGTACCGAGTATATGCAATTCTTTGAAACTTCTGTTAGTCATACTCTAATGATCTCGCATTTGTACTCACTTTACGAATGTGGACATCGTGCAATGGGTAGATGCCTTGGCATGCCTTTTCAATATCCTTTGCGATGGAGTCTGGCAACAATTTATTGACGACTTCCTTCAAATCGGAGCTGGTGACATCACGTGTGATGATGCTGCACATCTTTTCACGGATCTTACGCACTTGCGAGTGTTGGGCGTAGCAAGTTTTACGTTGTGATGCACTATCCTTGGTGGTGAAACCAATGGCAAATACACGAAGCAAATATCCGTCGGTGGTCTTGACATCAATGTTGGCTTCGATGAGTGTTTGCCATTTCTTAACCATTGACCTGTAACCAAAAATCAAAGCCCGAACAATTAATCATTTGCTCATCACACGAATCGTTTGGAAAATAAGGAAAAACACAATCATTGAAAATTTCACTCTTTTCTCTGTAATAACAAGCATTTCTGTCACATTTACACTAGTTTCACTAATGAATTTCCCTCACAACTTAAATTATGCTAACATGTTAGCTGGAGCTGATTTTGAGGTTATGTTAGCATACGCTCAATGCACTATTCTGGAATTGGGAATACATTTAATTTAAAAAAGAAAAAAAACTTACCGCAATTTATCGGTGGTCAAGCTCATTCCGTGGAAATTGGTTAAGCAGTGGCTTCCTTGGACATCTTCGCAGATGAGCTTGAACTTACGGAATGAGCGTTCAGCATCATTTTCGTTTTGCAAATCGGCCAATGAAACTTCGAACACGCGGTGCTTCAAACCCTCAGATGCAATTCGGGTTCCTTGGGTACGATTAACCAAAGTTTTTCCAACTTGCCGTTGGGCAAACATGTTTGGTGCCTTGATATCATACCAATCTTTACGGGAAAATGGATCAACCACCTTCTTTTTGCTACCTTTTTTACCTCCTTTCGAGAGGCCCTTATTTTTTCCGACTGCCATGTTGGTCGATCGAATGTGAAAAAGACAGAATCAAGAGACACATGGTTTGACGTCGAACGCGACCGGTATGAAGTTGGCAGCGCTCAATTTCACCACACCTGTCACCATAGCAAAGTCGATAGTTTCAACAACCGTCTATATCAATGGTTACACATTTTCAATGTATTTACAATGGTGATACTAGGAAATTGTTCATTTTTGTGGTTTACATTATCGAATTGAAGGCATGAAAGTGCTGCAACTATATATACGATTTCCACTGTTTCATTTTTGCAGCGACGAAATTCCAGCTGTCAACTGTCAAACGATGTCTTTGAACAGAACACAAGATACACACAGTCAGTCAAATCAACAAGAACTGGATGCAGATTGGAGCAAAACGAAATGGCGACATCGCAAAAAGTGTGTGAGATTTGTAAATTTAGCGATAGAAATGATTTGGACTTGGGTGAATGGAAGACATCAGAAGACTGTACTATTCATCTGTTTTGTGCGGTATGTTAAGTTGTTTTTATCCTTTGAAAATCATATCTGGAATAATAACATATTTTGTCGAACATTTTCAGTTGTTATCGACGAATGCAGTCCAACGAGGTACAGTTTTGAGGTTAACTATTCTAAACATGTATTTCATACGCAATTGATTTTGTGGTAAAATTGTAATGGATTTGTATGAATTTGTTATCCTTTAGGCGAAGACAATGAAGGTATCGATGGATTCTTGGTTACTGACATTCGAGACTTAAAGAAATATCATAAAAAAACCAAATGCTATTATTGCAAAAAGCCTTCTGCAACAGTCAAATGCAAGTATGAAAAATGCAGACGTTATTTCCATGTAAAGTGTGGAACAGAGAACAACTGTTTGTTCCAATTTGAAGGTCAATTCCATTCGTATTGTCATCTTCATGTTGATATCAAAGAGAAAAATACAATCCATGGTGATTTTTGGTCGTGTCAAATTTGCAAAGAACCCATGGGTCCGTACAATCCAATAACAAGCATTCCATCATGCTGCAATCAAGGCTTTTTCCACCGAACATGTATACAGAAGCATGCAAGAGCAGCTGGCTATTTGACAAAATGTCCATGTTGTGGAAACGATTCCGATACTGATAACAACGAGTACAGACAGTTTCTCGCACAACGTGGCATTTTCTGCCCAGATAAGGATGCAGGTGAGGAAAATTGATTTTAATTTGGACTGACATTTCATTAAAAAGTTATTCGATACCAATGTTTTTGATATTTTTTTTTCAGATTGGGAACTATCGCAAAATGCATACCATTCATTATTGGATGTTCACAACCAATGCGACGCCAGAAATTGTCTGTGTCCTAATGGACGACAACATAATGCGCGTGGCGAATGGCGTTTGCACAAGTGCCTTTACTGTGGACAAAAGGGTATTCACAATGGTTGTCGTCCGACTGATACGAACAACGACTTCATATGTAATGACTGCATCACCATTAGTTTTTCATTACTTTGTCATTGCTTTTCGTTATTTCTCAATATTTTTTATTTTTGCTTTTGTGTTTTTACCTTGATTAGGTAACGACTGCAGCGGGAAATCGACTCCATTAATTACTG